AAATTTATTGCCACTGCTAAGTCATAAGAACACAATCTAAAAATTATATTTACATACATATTTTTCACAATATTGGCATACACTGTTAGTTAATTCCAAATGTAATTAGAATACAAATTATTTTTATGCATAAATGTTGCATCTGGAGTTTTGTAACGGCTAAGTCAATTATATAAAAGTTTTATATTCACATAATGGCGTTACAAGTCTTATACTCACTTATTATGACATTTAACCACAAGCAGTGGCCATATAAACTCATCCTAAATTAAAGCCAGTCATGCCTGGAAAATGCACTTCGCAGCGCCATTGGTCTGCACGAGTTCCATTACAAGTTTGTCAGACACCAGCCAAGAATGCCGTATTAAGGCGATTGGTAAATAAGGTGCAACGAATTGTTGACATTTCCGACTTAAAATCTGAAATTGATTGAAATGTGGTAAATTGAATTCAATGACGCGTTAGTACCGCTCAGGCGGCAATGAAAATAGTGCTGCACTGATATTGTTTTGATCTTGTTAATCGGCATTAGACTTGTACGAATGTCGTCTTCAGCCTCATTGCTGTTAATCTGCTTGTTTTGCTAAATAATTTTAGATCAGTGCAGATTATTTCCATTAAACTCATCCAGAAAGTAAATTTTTAGTTGGCAATATTTTTAGTTATTTATTAGAGTTGCAAAGTTGTTTGTATAATGTGAAATCTAGCAGCTCCATACTTATCCTGGCTTAATAGAATTATTACCATAATTTATTTTTATTAGTTTCACACTAGCGAACCAGTTTTATGAACTGTAACAATTCGGGTTGTTACGATCAGTATCACATAATTTATGGCATTGCATGATAGTTACAATAAAATTTATCTTGTTATAACTTCAATATCAAAAGAATACTGTATATATATAAATAATAAAAAAGTTAGCAAATCAAAGTAAAAATTATTTATTTATTAAAATTCCATGTATAATTAAAGAATAACAAACCAATAATAAGTTGAGCAAAATACACATTATACAAATAAGTAGGACTGCAATGTGCTTAACCAGGATATTGAATCAGGTGTCGTTATCCTGATTTCTGGTTATCGGGCAGTTAGTTTTGAGCACTCATCAAGAAAATGATCAATAGTCATTCAGGTGGCAACGTGAACATGTTGGATCGCGTTTTATGATTGCTGCCTTGGTTCTTGTTGTTAATACATGCACTTTATTAAAAAAGTATTACAGGTTCTTTCAGACTTGGATTAGGTTTCTTTCGGATTTTAGATTTCAGCATACTAGGCCAGCTAGCTTTATAACATTTATAGGCTAGCTAGTTTATAATATATTTTAACTAGCCTATGAAAATGTACGGAGGTGTGGGTAATGTATTATTACATATGCATATATAATTATGTCACCCTGTACTTTAATTCTTAATTCCTTGTTCCCATTAAATATTCATTTTATAACATTGTTATGATTTTTAATTTAGTTTAAAAAATCCCAAGCGTGTTCGTCGAGCGAAAAGCTATGTTTTTGTAAAAGAGTGATTATTATAATAATGTATTATAAATTTGAAGTAGAATTAGTTGTTGATGACAATAATTAATAAATAAAATTCAGTAAAACTATAATTTTTAAAGGGTTAAAATATAATTAAAAAGTGTAAAATTGAATATTCTACTTCTTGATATTTGACACGTTTGCAATTTTAGTTATATGGTAAATTATATGATAAATTTAAATAATATTAAAATTTTCCAATAATTGAGTATTTCACTGTTAACATACATTTCGCTGTTCCTGCTGATACGAGTGCTGCCAAGGCATTTGCACACAACAAACTAATCAGATTACGCATTTTGGGTCGTTCAAGCAACTGATTAACATCAAAATGCAAAATTTTATTTTATGGTAAGTTTTTGAATCAACTAAGCAACTAATCAGTTGCCTGAATACCCCTATTATTTTTGCATTTTCTTTTTGAGACATCCTATGCTCATAGCGCCGACACTTGGTACTGGCAACACTATTAATCAAATTTTTACTAATCTGAGAATCTCCGAAATAGTTGATTCTCTGCTTAGTGTCATTTTTGTATGCAAATTTTTGTTGTAATCATCTACTAAGCAACTAATCAGTTGCCTGAATACCCCTAATATATAATTATATTAGAGGAATACCCCTAATATATAATTATATAAGGGGTATTTAGGCAACTGATTAGTTGCTTAGTTGATTCAAAAACTTCATATAAAAAAAATTTAGCATTTTGATGTTAATCAGTTGCTTGAACGACCTAAAATGCGTAATCTGATTAGTTTGTTGTGTGTAAATGCCTTGGCAGCACTCGCATCAACAGCAAAACTGAAACGTACTTGTGTTTGCAAAATTGTTTACACACAATTCAAACAGCTGAGAACTAAAGTTCATTTTAAGTTATTATTACAACACTTGGTATTGGTAGCACTATTAATCAAATTTGTACTAATCTGAGAATCACCGAAATAGTTGATTCTCTGCTGCGCTTCATTTTTGTGTGCAAATTTTTGTTGTAATCAACTACTAAGCAACTAATCAGTTGGCTGAATACCCCTATTATATATGATATAAAAATAATTTTAAGTTTTTATTTATATTTTTTTGAATGTATTACATGTATTTTTTCCCACCCTGTACTCAAGGTTTTCGTAGTGTAGTGGTTATCACGTGTGCTTCACACGCACAAGGTCCCCGGTTCGAACCCGGGCGGAAACATTCCTTTTTGGATTTTTTTTTGTTTTGGTTATTCTGTTCTAAATATTTTTTTTTCTAAATTGCTACTAAAAATTACTTAAATAAAGTCTTTTTGTCTTTTAGTCTTTTAGAATTAAATAAAATACGTTTAAAAAAAATATTTTTAATTACTAATTTTCTAATTCAAAATTATTACCTGAATTTTATTTTTTAATATGTATTGTTAATAATGTTGTTTTTTGATGTAATATAATGAAAAGTTCTTGTCTAAAAAAAACCACAATTATTTATATATCCACCACATTTATTAAAATCTACATGACAACTTCAAAGACTATAAATCTAAACTAAAGAGCGTCTACATCATAAACAAAGTGAAAGAGAGTAAAGTAAAAATAAAGCACGAACCTATAAAAAATGCTTGAGATATCACTGTAACGGCGTAAAGTGTAAAATGGTTATTAATATAATAGGACTCAGCTCCTTGCGAAGTTGCAGTCTGCTATGTTTGCAAGATTGATACGCAAAGATTTTATAAACAAATCCACACAAGATACGGAAATTTAATTATTTATTTTTAATGTAAATATTGTTGTTGAATACTTATCATATAACGAGTGACGACTAACATTAGGAAGCAGTTTTTTTTCTTATTTATTTGAATATGTTATTTATTGATAGCAAATAAAATTATATCTGTTCTAAAATTAAATGTTTTAAAAATATTTTAAAATTATTTGAGCTTCATAAAGTTTATCAAAAAAAGCTTTTAATTTGTATTTGTCTAAACAAAAATTGTATCTGTTACTTATGAGTTTATACAGTCCATCCATATAGGGGATGTAGCTCAGATGGTAGAGCGCTCGCTTAGCATGTGAGAGGTACGGGGATCGATGCCCCGCATCTCCAGAAGTTTTTTTTGTTTTATTTATCTTTTTTTTAAACGTAATTATTTAAATACATGTTTTTAATAAATTAGTTTCTTAAAATTTTAACAATTTGGACTTAGCTCAGTAACGGATAAACTTCAACGCTTTAGCTTTAAGTGTAATTTTTATTTATAACAATTACTGATTATATATATGTTAAGTGATAAAACAAGATATGTTACAAGGTATTAGATTATGTAACATGGTTATTATTTATAATAATCATTATTTATGATAATAAAATATTATAATTACGATTATTGCATTATGCTTGGAAGTCCAAATAAAGTCTAAGAAAATCAGTTGGGTTGGTAATAAAGCACTATAAACTACTTAGTCTATATCTGTATAAATAAACACACAAGTGCCTCAAATATCGTTATTGAAAGGTTAGAACTCATTTCAGACGACGTTGGAGTAGTGTTGTAAGGGCTGTAGTTTAACCGAAAACAAAAACTATAAAAACTGTTTTTATTAAAACATTCACATAGGCCATTAAAAAACGAAGTCATAGTAATTTTTATTTAAGATATATAATTCTGATTATAGAATAGTAATGAATCAGTTTTAGAAAAGTTAGAAGAATTTACATTCAAATAAAAATTATGCTTTTATTACAAATTAAAAGTGTTTAGGTTGTTTGATGAAATTGTATAACATAATTGTTGATTTACTAATCAAAACACTTGAAAATAGCATCAGAGAAATATGGTTCAAGTTTCTAGGTTAATACAGAAATTATAATATGTAATTATGTATTCCTTCGCAAATTTAATAGCATACAATTTTCAACAAAATTTTATTTACCTGTAAGCATGAAATATTCTAATAAGGTTGAAAACTGATTTTAAAGTCAATAGTAATTTAATTGCTGCTGGCAGTTATGTATAAAATATTTAAGTGAAAGAGATAACATTCACACAATAAATATTCTGAAGCTAATCAAATTCAATTATAATAATTTAAAATAGATAGAAATAATTATTTAATTTAATCAAATTCAGGTTTTTATCTCAATATTATGCGAAAATGCAAGCGACAAATGCACAGACCGCCACTATTTCAAAGCGCAGTTTGACACCATTTAAAGCTGTCTTACAAATGTTTTAATCGTGTTATCTGCGAAGTGAAGCTTAAGACGCCAGTCGATTTAAATAAATTTCTATAAACATTTAGCATAGATAAAAAGTCATAAAAAGCTACAAAACTGGCGACTTTATTGACAGTATGATTTATGCACACGTGGTTACAATGTTAGTATTAACTAAATTATAAGAATTTGATTCTTACACCAATAAAAAATTAAACAAATATTATTACAGAGAACAATTATAAAAAAAAGTGTTCTTAAGCACACTAATATTCCAAAATATATGAAAGATATTCACTTCTACGACTTTACTATTTCAAATTTTATTCCTTGTTTTTGCATCTCTTGAATCAGTGTTGTTTTGGCAAATGCAAAACTCGCTGGCCAAACACCACCGCTAAGGAAGAAAACTTTCATATTTTTTATTGAATCAAATATAATAGGTATTACCTTCCTGGCATTAGATTACTTTGACTGAGTATTGTTTTCGCACATAGCAGCATTATAATACTAGCCAGACCATAGAATGGATCAGTGCCCGAAACGCGTGCTATCAACTCTTTATTTGGTTTCTCTGTGATGGGTTCATCACTGCTCCAACCTTTTGCCTTAAAGGTTAATGCAAAATGGTGTCCTTTTCTAATTGATTCAGTAGGGCCTTCGTGTGAGATCATACCCTTTGTGTAAAATTTGGGATGCTTTAAAAGCAAATTGCGTGTACATTTACATTGAGCCATCAGTAAGATAGTAAGAAAACGGAATGGTAAGCAGAATGCAGAGAAAAATGAGCTATCAAATAAAAATTAATAAATATTATTTCCAATTATTCACTTCAAAGATTATCACATATTCATGTACAATACTTTCTTAATATCTTTAATGTTAATGTTATTGTTTCCATAAATAATATTAACATTTACTTACCGAAAACCCACATATGATTCAAATTGTATAGGCCGTTTATGCTCTATTTTGTGTTGTAAACGTTGGGCCCGTAGTATAAGAGCTCGATCAGTTTGTGGAAACGGTAGAAAATAACTACTTAGGCCAGCTGTCTTGTGCATAAACGGACTAGGTAAATATTTTTGTAAAATACGATATTCCACTATAACAATTTATTCTAAATGTTAACTTACTTTAGCCATAGTTTGGGTCTTAAACTGGGCAACTTTTCAATAATAGATTTATTTATTTTATTTTGTACATTCAGCGATTTTCTAAAGTTGTCGAAAGCATAAACAGCGCTTTCCCAAGTACCATAATGCAGTAAAGGTTTCGAACCATTATCAAATGTGTTCTCCCAATACATTTCAATGGAATTAATATCACCTACATTAAAATAAAAATATTAGTTATTTATCATTTATAAAGCAAGACATTGAAAGATTTCTTAACTGGATACCTATTTAGGTAGCAATTTGAACCAGTTAAAAGAACTATATATATTGCGTATGATACATGAAAACTTAAAGCTGTCGTTTTATGAGAGGATCCATTTAATAGAATTTTCGCTGTAATTTGTTTCTTTAATATAACTGTTATAAATTTTCTATAACTGTTATATATTCTCGTAAGTCAAATTTATTAGTATTAATATTTAAAAATGAAGTTATTAATATCATATCGCTCTTAATAAGCTCATAAATTTTAGGAGTCTCCATTAAAACAAATGTTTAATTTCTGGTTTGTAACCAACCCAGAAATTGGTTGTAATTTCTGGTTACAACTCAGAAATTAAACATTTGTTTTAATGGAGACTCCTAAAATTTATGAGCTTATTAAGATACTGCATTTTCTACCAATAATGCATCTCGTCAAGTCTAATATGCTAAACTTTTTATCTACAATTGCAAGGAATGTGTAATTAAAACGGATTTCTTACATAATTAAAAAGGATTAGATCCTCCTTCCACTTTACCTAAATCTATACGAATTGGCCAGCTTTTTTATGAGAGAACGATTTTGAGGAGACGATTTGTAACACGTAAAGCTCTGTTAATATTTCTCTTACCATTCTAAAGCGGACATTTAGATAGTTTAGCAAGACTGTTTATTTTTTTTATTTTATAGAAATGGTAAAATGGTTAAAAAGTTAAGTAAACATAAGAAAAAAATTGTAAAACGCACAAATCTTAAAGAAGAAATAGTTTTCTAGAAACAAATGAATAGTTTATTTTGATAATAGACAAAAAGAGTCCATCGAGTTTGAAAAAGAGTTCAACAGTAGAAAATATTATGGTTTATATTTTTTTAACTGATTACGATATACAAACAAGCCAAAAAATATTTAAATCTGACACAGGCGATGTCACCAGATTCACCATATTATTAATATGATTACTGAGTTTTAAATTATCACTACAACTGATGCGTATTTTGGGAGTTGCTGTATCCCTAAAAATTACTCAAAAATTCCATTCATCACAAACTTGTCATTTAGCTTGCACATAATTTATTTCAAAAAACATGTGTTTAGACTAATAAATGTAATGAAATGGACATTTTTGTTTGGAAATCAAATATGACGGAAACCTATCACTTCCAGTCCATTAATTATATGCGGGCTAATAAAAGCAACATAAGGACGATAAGGCGTCTCTCTTTAGTAGAAAATAGCTAAGGTTTTTGACAAATTATTTGACAGGTTAGCATAGCCTGCGTTTTATCCTTTAGAAAATGTGTGTGGTCGGGGAAACAAAGTGTTGACTCTACTTTGAGATGGATGAGACCTCTAGTCGCATTGTTTGTGTTTTGATCTCGATTAGTAGGAGTTTATTGGTCCGGGAGTTCATATTTCCGTCTGATGTGAAGATACCCTTAACAATTAAGACTTTAGTCTTCATTTGAAAAGCGAAATGTCTTTTGTTCAGTAAGAGTAGCATATCAGTATAAAAGATCAAGCATAGCCAAAGAACTCTGTTCAAATGGAAGCCATTACCAAGTATACATGTTTATATTTTATGCTACTGAAATCAACAAGTATTTCTAACTTGTTTTCAGCTTCATATTGATTAAATATTAAAAAATATTTGTTGTTGTGATGCATTATTGAATACTTGTATTAAAAAATACTTTACGATTATATAAGTAATTCAATGTTCATGTCTAAAATTTAGTAAATCGTTTAGGTGGATATCAAATCTTAATAGAATTATATACATATGTATTTTTATATTATTACTGTTTTAATAATATAATTGGCTATATTTTTTAGCCCCGCATTTCAAAATTAAAATTGAAATATTTAAATTCTACAAATAATAATTTTATAAATGTTTGTTTACTTACCTCCAAAATTTTGTTCAACGTAAACAACTCCCATTTCTGCCGGTATCGTATCAAATCCACATGCCGACACTACATAAGTACCTTTTTCTTGTGCAAGGTCATGGTAAACTTCAAACATTTTATCAATAAATAGTTGTTCACCACTAAGATCAATATGGTGGGTACCATTCTCGATACATGCTTTTACGACAACTTCACCATAGAAACGATAGGGGCCACAACAATTAATTATTAACTGTATTTTAAAAAAGTTTTTCATTTCATAACAAATTAGAAATATAGCATTAACACACTTACTTTGCACTTTTTTGCCATTAAGTCTAAAGATTTTTGATCACTAATATCAGCTATAACCACTGGTATATCATTTAAATCCTGTTTAAGTTTACTACCAATATCTGAGAGTACTTTTTTTATTTTTGACTAAAATTGACAAAATATTTTAATTATTATTTGTTTAATTATATGTAACTTTGTCAGTTAAACTTTTATATATTTTATAATAATAATTTTTATAACCTATTTATTATTCAAGTTTACCTCATTTCTTCCCGCCACACCCCATTGAAGGTCTTTTAATAAATCTACTGCATACTCAACAACTAATTCTCCAGTAAAACCGGTTGCACCAAAAATAATTGCATCCAATTTTTCCGACATGTTCAATCAATTTAATCAGCAATAACCAAACAACTTTGGGTTAAAATTCATACTAAATATTCTATTTTGTAACTCACCTCAATGAAACTATCGTAGATAAATACAGCACTTATAGATGATCAATGTGCAAAAGTGTGTGCTACATTAGAAAAGCAGGTAATTTAAGTAATGTCCTATATCGACATAATATACAGCACAATGTTTTCATTAAGTTTTTTGTTTTATATAAATTTTAGTTAATTATTAAGTAACGAAATTATTTCCTCATATATGTTGGTGATTGTTAATCAATGATAACTACAAATGCATGTATGTTACATCCATCGCCCATTACTATTTCAATCTTTCAAAAGTGCCGACTGTAGTGTACAATTTTATTATTTTATGAATATAGATTAATTTACAATCCCAAAACAATGACTTGTAGTTTTTACTAAGATTAATATAAACCCAACAAATATTATTAGATTTTATTTAAACTTTTGAAACAGGTATTTGAACGTATTATATTGTATAAAATTATTACTGATTTGGAAATAATTTTCAATTATACAGTGGTGGACTGAAAAATGTTTACCAAATTTACATGTTCGTATTTTTAATCTTGAGCTTACAAAAAATAAGTTTCATTACAACGATTTATCAAAACACGTTATTAAGGTTTAAAGTATGAATAACTTTTAATTGATATGGTTATAAGTTATATGGCATGTGAATCAAAAGTAACGAATATTAGAAAATTGTGACGGATTATTTTTGTATATTGGCTGTACTGCAAGAAAAATAAGTGTTAACTATTAGGTAACTGCTTAGTTTGTGTTTATCTATCGAAAGAGCACGTCTACATAAGAAAACTAAAAAAAGAATGCAACTCTAAAATTTAAACATTACAAACAACTTTATAACAACAATGAAGTTGTCTTGTGTAATATAGAAATTTGTTGTATGTACAAAATTCATTTAAATAATATATAAGTCAAAATGATTTTATAATTATTGTTGAATATTTGATTCATATTATATCCTTTTGGATTGTTAGTCTTTACAAAGCAATGAAGACAGATAACTAAAAGTTATTGTTTTATATACCTTATGATCAAAAAAGAACGAGAATTTAAAAAAAATACAAAATTTTATTTTTTAATCATTTTCTTTACTATCGCCTTCAAAGTACTCTTCTCTTCTCTTCTTTTCCATACAAGTTTTATAGGTCGCCGAAGATACGACCGAATTCTCTTTTATGGCCTCTAGGTACCAAAACACGTTCCTCGCAATGGCAATTTGAGTCGGGGCAAGAGGAAAAAGTCACACGGGGTCATATCTGGATAGTACGGTGCTTGGTTGATGATATTCGTGGAGTTTTTGGCCAAAAACTGCGACTCAACCAACGCTGTGTGAGCCGGTGCGTTATCGTGGTGTAAAATCCATGAGTTTTCCTTCCATAAATTGGCTTCTTTATGCGCATGGCCTCACGCAAACGACGCATAACGGCCAAATAATACTCCTTATTAACCGTTTGACCGTCCGGAAGGAATTCATAGTGCACTACACCACAAATATCGAAGAAAACAGTAAGCATAACATTAATTTTGGACCGACTTTGGCGTTCTCTTTTCGGTTTCGGCTCACCTTCGAAGCACCATTCGGTCGATTGTTGTTTGGTAGACATGTCAAATTCATAGTCTCATCACCAGTTGTGATGCGTTCGATGAATGTGGGGTCAATGTGGAAATTCAGCTTTTTTGGCACCAGCCGAGAAGCGACGCGTTTCAAACCCAAAACTTCAGTTAAAATGTGTTCGGCCGATCCATCAACAACATCCAGCGATCCAGCCCAACAACACTGCAATTTCTCTAATCGGTTCACAACGATTTTCCAACACGATCTGCTTCGCCGATTCAATGTTTTCTTCAGTAACAGAAGTTGTTGGGCGGCCAGGGATCTCATCATGGTCCAAGCTTGTACGACCGTCTTTGAACCTTTTAAACCATTCGTATACTTGTGGTTGCGACACACATAAATCACCAAATGCCTTTTTTTAACATTTTTTTAACAGTTTCGGCACATTTGAATCCATTTGAAACACAAAATTTGATGCACGCAGGTTGTTCTAATTTTTGATCCATTATATGTTAAAAATCGCCACACGATAATTTTTCGACTTTTTGTATAGACGCCGAACAAAAATTAATTGTGCGATATGCGTTAAACTTTGACAGAATGTGTATAATAGTGTTGCCAGTGTAAAAATAAAAAAATTTACCAATTGGATAAGCGCGTGAATTCAAAAATTAAAATTCTCGTTCACAAGGTATAACCAAAAACATAGAAATATAAAGACATGTAATTTGCCTCTGTTAAAAAAATCATGAATTCTGAAAAGGTACACGCAATGGGAAAAACATGTCTGTTCAAACATATAAACAATCGAACTTTTTATTTTATGTATGATCAATGCTATTTTGTTAGTGAAGTCAGCAATCAAACCAATAGCGAATATGTTGTATTTTGCTTGGACAAAATCATATAGAAAAAACTCTAATATAAGAGCAAATGCACACATAGCTTCTAGTTCATGCGTATGTAAGTTTCTTGGTAATTTTTTTCTACTCTTCTTTTTATTGCACACTTACTAAATATATATATGCATGGGTAGGTGAGACGATATTTTTGAATGTGATGATTGGATTTTGTTTGTGTGCTTTTTTTTTCTTAAAATATATGACTGGCTTCGTGTGCATGAAATGCACAAGTCTTCCAAATTATTTAAAATTTGATTTTTGCTGAAATTTTTTAATAGCTTCATACTAAAATATGATATTTGCCTATGACATGATGCGAAAACACCGGAGTAGCGCAACCACAGTTGTTATTAGTGTAAATTCTCTTAATATGTTTGGCTGTCAAGACTCGGCTATGTCATACAGTAACAATAGTTGTATGAAGAATATTCATAAACACCATATTATACAAGAATTGATTATGTTTTATATATTAAGTTTTTATTATTATATTCTTATATCAAATACAATACAATTATTAACTAAATTTTATTACTTAAATTATATAGAATACAACTATAAACCTTAGATAACTAATTATACATTAACTTAAATTAACTAGAACTATTAACTAAATTTAATTGCATATTACTTATAACTGTTTAAAATGAGTTTATTTATTTAGGGTGAATATTTTTGTTTCATTGCTAATTTTTCTAAACATTTATAAATAGTATATTTCTTATTAAAATTCAAATTTTTGCAATTGTTTTTAATATGCTGGTAAATTTTGCACTATATTAACAAAATCAACGATAATTTTTTTATAATAGT